AAATGCTAGATTTCAAGATGGGAGCTAGAGATTTGGAAATATTTTCTGGAAATAGTCTTTTTTTTTTAAAATGGGATTTTGAAACCAATTTTCTGATTTATTTTCTCAATTTTGATTGGTTCAAGTTAGAAGGCTGGGCAGTAACCTAGCTAACCTGAACAGAATTAAAGATAAAAATCTTCAAATATTTTTCTATTCAGGAACATTTTGATTTTGTACAATTTATGTGAAATAGTGTCTTTGTATACAATTGGACATTATTATAATTGACTGGGCATTTTTCCAATATCTGATGATTTCAGAATCTAAAATTGAATATTTTTTTTAATCGAATCTCTAACACTTGGACAATATATAGCTTTGACTGTTTTATTGTAATGGGTCCTCCAGACACACACTCTATCACTCAGACGGTTTGCTGAGTGTTAACACACAATAAGAAACATGTGTCATATTACTGGGAAGAAAAGAGTCACATGTCAGAATTGTTTTTTAATAATCTGTTACGAATTTGTCCTTTGGACGGACAAAAAAACAATATGGCGGCGGTCAAAAATTCCTGTCTAAGTCGCTTATTTCTCATATTTAATCTGAACTGTTAGTCCCCTGGCCTAGTCGACGTTCTGGTGAATAGGCATTGATATGAATATAATAATCATGCCTGCCTATTTCAAATAAAAATAGTCTTGTCTGGTTTCGAGACTCCTGTCCTGGGAAAAACTATTATATTTTAATTTACTGCAAACCACTTCATGTCTTGATGGCAATAAAAAAATAAACCAATTTGCGGCAATTTTTCTGATGTAAAATGAAGTGAAGCGGAAATAGCCACGGTATATGTAGTCTTGTACAAGGCAGTCCAAAGTCTAAGTTTATATTCATTGCTTTGCCAATAAACTGCACCTTCACAGCTTTGTGACTGAAATAATCATTTCAAATCCAAAATTCTTAGAATATTCAATTAGCAGAATCGCTAGTCTGCATTTGCGTAATAAATGGCCTTTTTTGATCCACTAGAGTTCCTGATTTGTACTAGTTAAAAATTTTAACAGAATGGTTGGTGCTCCCGAAGTATGTGTACCAAGATGGAGCACAACCTGAACACAGTATGTGTACCCGGTTAGGGTTATGAGGTTGTGCGCCATCTTGGTGCACAGACTTCGGGAGCGCCGAATAATTTGATTAAACATTTTGAAGATTTACAATTGCAAAAGTTTTTGTGGTCAAGATTTGGGTTTTCTCATGGCTGTGATCTTCAACCTGGATCGGGAAGTGTTTTCCTAGTTGCTAGAATTTAGTGTGAATTTCCCCAACATGAGTGAAATTTATATCTCAGATGGTCTTCAATTTTTGTGTTTTATTAAAATTTGATGAACGTCCTGAAAAATCTTCTTCGTGCTGTTTGAATTTGTCGAATCATTTGAACACCTTTTTTGAATTTATCAATAGGGTTGCTTGTTTGGTGAAATTGTGGCCAGTTGGATTTTTCAAAATAAACTTGGATTCTGTACTACTTTTTCGTTTCTTGGTGTGTAAGATTTAAATTGGGTGAAAATGTTGATATTGTTTTTCAGCAAAAAAAGGCTTACAGTACAGTTTTTAGGATCTTTTAGATTTAGGGCCTATGCCAGCATCAATCATTTATTTTGGTTCTCTGACATAAACAATACAAAAAGTAAACAGACAAACAATATGCAGAGCATAGTTTAAAGATTTTTGATCTGGTTTGGGATGTAATTATTTGTGTGGGAAGGCCTTTGCATATCAGTGTATAAACTCTAAGAGCAGGTGTATAACTCAAGAGCAAGGCACCTGACTGGCGGCCAAATAAGTGTGAAGTAAAAGTTACATTGTAGGAACAATGTTTACAGTGTTGCAAAAGTGGAAAAAAATAAACCTCGCACCAAAACTTGATTTAATTGCAATCTCAAATTTCTTGAGTATTTTATAGCTGAAACATCAAAATGGGTGGCAGCATTGGGCAGGCCGAATTAAATCATCCAATAGGACAAATTTGGCCCATCTGCCGTAGTATGCTCATGACAGCCAATATTCAAAAGTTTGTTCATGCAAATAACAGTTGCAATTCATGACCATCGAACCATAAACACTACAGGCAAGCTGTATCAAACCAGGTTCATTTCAATATTTCTACATCTACAGCTCTATTTGTCAAAAACCGTTAACCATGTAAGAACGCTATCCGATCCAGGAAAGACGTTTAAATATGTATAAAAAGGGGTCATTTTGAGAGACTGTTTTAGCAGGACTAAAATATATTTTAAAAACTGTGGATTGACAGCTGGCAAATTGTGCGACAAAATAAAATTTTGGGTTGTTGGGCATTTATAGGCATGAACCAGGTACATTGAAACAATAAAATTTTAGCTGAGAAGATAAAAAAAATTGACTGGTAATCAATAGGCAAACGGAAAATATTAATCAGAAAATATGCATCAAATAGACAAAATTAGTCATTTCTTCAAGAATAATTCCATGAATATCACTATAGAAACCAATTCACTACAGCTTGTTAAAGGATGAATGATCAAATATACCATTTTGATTTAAAATAAAAACATAAAAAGAAATTTTCAATGCAAAAAATGCTTTTATTAAAAGATTGGCTTTGGCTTCAGTATGAGTAAATTAAGAATATTCTTGAATAAATGAAAGTGTCACGTATAAAAAGCAACTTAACAGGCAAATATATTATGAGTCAGCACCTTCTGAGCTAATGCACAGCTTATGTTAAAAGATATATGATAGGACATCAAAGAGTTGTTAATCAAATTGTCTTATAGCAACTCAATATTTTATACAAGTTTCCACAATCTACAGTCAATTGATGTCAACTACGAGCTGTCCATGATGATTAAATTTCAACTTCCAGTAAAAACAGAATTTTTTTTGATGAAATGCCATGATAGTTGCAAGTAAAAAATTTTGATTTGGATTGACATTAAACAGCTTTTAAATATTGGGAATTATCAAAGTGAGTGACCTCAGACAGAATGAGAATAATCGAGACACGACTGCTCAAAGTTGATTTATAAATTTAACATAAAATTGACATGTAATCTCTGGTTAGTTACAACTTCTTTCACCATCATTAAGAATTATAAATGAAAGTGTTTCATATGAAAAGCAGCTTAACAGGCAAATATATTATGATTTAGCACCTTCTGAATAAAAGAGTCAAAAACAAGTCAAAATAATCGAAAGTCGAAACGAGACTCCTAAGTTAATTATTAATTTCAACATAAAATTGACACATAATTGCTGGTCACAACTCACAACTTTCTCCAGCTTCCTCCACCAAATTAATCCATTGCCAATTCGTAATCATAACCTGATATTTTTTGATATAGCCAAATATATTATTCTCGTTATCACACACCTGACGCGTGAAGCTATTGGCTCAGTCAGCAATCCGCAGGTCAAATTCGTTTGGTATTACTTGAATCATATCGAAAATCTGCTTCAAGTCCTCCTGAATCAAGTTTTAATAAATTCGCAGCAACGTGGTCTGCCGCAACAAGTAAAAACATACAATTGAAAATATATCCTACAGACCGGAAACTGAAATTTAGTCGTCATGGCTACCCTTCTTTTTGCCACCAAGCGGCTTGTGTGTTATCTGCGAGTCATGTTAATTTGATGGTCAAGATTCCAATTAAGGGCAGTATTACATGTTTTTAAATGTACTGCATAAAAAGTATATACCCGAGTGATATCATACAAATTAAAACTCTGAAAAATGTTCTGGCGGTCAGAGGTCAATCGTTCAAAGGTCATATACTCGTATGTTCTCTATTGTCACCTAGTGTATATCACGAAAATATTTGCTCTTCGAGAAGGCGTGTGGAACTGCGGTGTCTAGTTCTTGTGTCCTATTGGTGACAATATTAATTATGGACTAGTCACAATCACAAACTCATATCTGAGAATTGCTGAATGGCACCTAGGCCGTAGGGTGGTCGCCCACGGTTAGCTGAACCATGAAGTCTAAATTTTTTCCTACTTCGTCCTCCACCCCACAGAATAATCTATTCTATTCTAATAATCAATTCCAGGGCATCTTCTGGAAATTCAGGTCGCCTCGACTTTTATTCCTTTTGCTTATTTTTCGATATTTTATGTTATTATTAATTCCTGTTGCGTTTAATCACGGGTGTCGCTGCTCCATCACCAGTCTTGGTTTTTGTGACCCCAAAATATCAGTCCCCCGCTTTTTACATTCTGTATTCATTAGTGCAACGCTTCCCAAACTTTTTGGGCGGCGGACACCTGTTTGTAAACCCCAGTTTTCATGGAACCCCATCCTATGTTGTATTAATTTCTTTGCCTTAACAACAAAAACGCTACCCAAACTTTTTGAGCCAGGGACACCTGTTTGTGAACCCTAGTTTTCATGGAACCCCATCCTTTTTCGTATTAATTTCTTTGCCTAAACAACAAAGAAGGATAGTATTTTAATTACAACACAAACGACATTAATGTGATGAATGAGGTTACTTTTCACTGCACAATTTAATATTTCTCGGGGCAATTTGTGACAAGCAAACTTGTAGGTCGGACTCTACAGCAAGTCTCGACCTGTATTTTGTCATCATATTGGTAAGAGCTGAAAAAATAGTCGTTGCAAAAAGCAATGAAGTTTTATTTGCCTTGTTCTCTAACAGCAATGGACACTCAACCGAAAAATGCAAAGGACCCCCACGGGTCAGCGGACCCCAGTTTGGGAAACCCTGCATTGGTGCATTTCATGTATGTTAGAAAAATAAACTAATGATTACTGATTTCAAGTGCTGGTTCACTAGTCAATAATGCGAAGTTGGATGCCTAACAAGACTTGGGATTCGTCTTTCACATATATTTAAAGGGGTGAATAAAATGACTCTAATAGCTCCTTTCTAAAGACCAGACCATGTAAATAGACAACCAATAAAACTCTCGAGATGCATGGTCGTAGTTTATGGGACGATCCCATTAACCACCCTACTAGTTGAATTCAGTCCCGGTCTATCACACTGATCATTTATTATACAGATGTTACTACAAATAAACAAGAGATCACACAGAATTTGAAATATAATCAAAACAAACATTTTTTGACTGAAGGGACTTAATAGATTATACAGGCCAAATGGTATACTGGGCTTCATGTTGCTAATTTAATTTTGTATCATAAAGTTGTTAGAAATAAATATTCCACTCTCATAATAATCAAAATAACATATAAAGCAAAAGTCAATGCATTTAATTTCAGGAATCAATGACAATTTCAATAATGACTTGATATCACGAATTACCATTCTATTCATTTCAAACAGGAAAAACAACAAGACTGATTGGGAGTTGGGACAGCAGACTTGTTATATCTGCGATGTCATACTCAAAAGTCGAAAGAGGAAAAGATGAGAGATAATATCCACTCGACCAGTCTGCAAGCGTAGAGAATATTATATTGTTTTTCTCAGCCAAAGATTGCTGTCAATAATGAGCTGTAGATGAATCAGTTTTGAGACACAAACAGCATATTTAGCTTCATGAAATTATACTTTAATGTATAAAATGTGTATATTGAACCGAAACATAACATAGAGTTTTCTTCTACAGTATGAATTATTGTACATATATAGATATATATTTCATTTCACATTAGTGAGAGAACCATTGAATAAGGTTTAACAACAAATTCAATTTGATGAAGAAAACAAGAATTATTTTTTCTTTGGCAAGAGAATCAAAATCAAATCTATTACTCCATAAGCTTGTTAGTACTCCTGTAGTATGTGTACCAGGTTAGGGTTAGGCCATAATTTTATTTCGATTTACCTTATCAGTATTTTAGTTTTATCACAAGTTCGGGGGCTGTCTGTGTTAGCCTAGTTGATATCGACCTGTGGATGGGTTCCAGTCCTTTTACACAAATTGATGTAAAGTAGGCAAACAAATTTAGTTACCTCCCTATTGGTACGCACACCCCTGGAGCGCCAGAGAAATGTAATTCTTAGGGCTGGGAATATGAAGGATCACTTGACCGTTCACCTTTTTGATTTTTTTTTCTGTTTCGATATTTAGGGAATACATGACAATTTTATTCCAGTTTTGTTATTTTTCATTTTTTTTTCTATTTTAAAAGTTAGGAAAATATGTGGAGTCAAAAGCTGATTTACATAATAAATGCTGAAAATTTACAATAATAAGCATTACAAAACAGATCATTGTAATATGCTACATGTATCACTTATATAGATCAGAGAAAAAGTATTTATTTGAAATTTAAATAAATTTTAGAATAAATATTTATTTCATGGTCAATTAAAATCAGTGAGACAACAAACATAAAAAAAAAGGATTTTTATAAGTGGAGGTAATCACAGAAATCCCTGAATTAAACTTGGGACTTCCTATGATGTAATGCTACTCATAAAGATCTCAAATATACAGAAAATAATGCTGCCAATTTTGATACAGAGCACTGAACAATGAATTAATATAAAAATGATACAATGATTTTTGCTTAGATTGAGAAAATGTTGTGATAAAAACTTTTTTAAATGGCAAAAATAACAAAACAATGAAATTCAATGATGGTATTATGTCTCAAACACAAATTTTTTCAATTTCATCAACTATTTGAATATGAAAAAAATGCGGAATACATGAATATACAGAAAATAAGGTACTCTCGAAGTATGTGTACCAGGTTAAGGTTAGGCTAAAATTTTATTCTGATTTTCCTTATTTTATTTCTATTACGAGTTCGGGGACTGTTTGTGTTGGCCAATTGAACATTACCCCTGCCCATAGGTTTCAGCCCCTTTACACAACTTGATGTAAGTAAAATAAGCAAATAAAATTAGTTACCCCCATGTTGGTACACACACTTCTGGAGCACCGGAAAGAATGCTACAAACTTGAATACATAAGCATGAAACAAAAAATTATGCATTGAGTAATTCTACACTAGAAGTCTTTATAGTCTTGTGAGGTTTTGACACTTCATTGGTCATTTGTGACTATGCTCATAGGGTAATTAAATTTCTGAGTAAAATTTCATGTGTAAGAAACTTTTTTTTTTTTTTTTCAATTTTTCAATTTTTTTTTTTTGAGTTTTTGAGGCTTTTTTGTTTTGTTTTGTTATATTTTAAAAATCAAGCAAATATACAAAGTTGCAAAGAAAACTTATATACGGTAAAAATAATTAAGGGCGATTCAAATGGAGCGAGATTGAGAACAGCAGTTGTCAATCATGAGAAAAACATGACACAAATAATGAAAGTTGACATACCCTAAAAATTACAACTACATATTAACTTGTAAATCTGGCCAACGTAAAAACAATACACCTATTAAATATATTGGACTGAAGTTCTGGAAAAGCCCAAAGTGAGTTTGTTACAGTTAACTAAAATAGTACATTAAAGAATAAAGCATTAATGCAGCACTTAATTTTCAAAAATAATAGGGAAAAATAATGAAAAATGTGTCGAATGACATGCAAATCGGGATTTAGTGCAGATTTTCACAAAATACTCTAAATTATTAAATATAACGTTTAAATTATTAAATATAACGTTTTTTCAACAGATTGTAATGGCTACCCTAAACACTCATTCTACCAAGATTATTGGCTACCCGAATACATATCATTCTACCGGGGTTACCCCTGTAGGTTCAAGAGGTCAAATCTTGTGAGGGATGACTGAAATCTTTGCTGAAGGAAGGTGACCAAGAGTCAGTTACTATGTTCAGGGCCGGTGATAGAAACTGTGGGGCCCAATTAGAAATCTGATGACGGAGTCCCTACTCTTCATAGTGATATTTATAGGTGTTTATGGTACTGGATATAAAATAAATTTGAGGTAATGTGGATGCATTTATTTCTATCGAGGATATTAATGAAATGGTAAATAAATTGTTCATTGAATTTGTTGTAATATTAGGAGCGCTAAATGTGTTACCGTATGTCACGTATATGTGGACCTGAAACTTTAATTTTTTTAGAACATATCTGATAAAAGAGAAAAAAGACCATGCGGGATTTGATAAAATCAGTCTAAAACCGGCCCTGACTATGTTTCCACAATCCAAGTTCATGCAAAGTCAGCATTTCACACAAAAAAAATTATAACATTTTTGCCTAAATTCTACTATTACTGAATAATATAATTAATAACAGTCTTCAAGAGTTATATTTCTAATATTTAATCACTTCACTACATATGCATGTCCATAACGTGTTGCGGGATTAAGGTATGAACCGCATGATCATTCGGTATTAAGTCTGAGGTTGTTGAGGAAATTAATGTTGAGCATAACTCTTTCAACGTTATACGACAGTAACAGTATGTGGCATGTCGGTGCAACATTTGTAACTTAGCAATGTCTTTAGCATGTGTTCAGTCTGGGACACTTCTCATCTTTCAAATTAGGTATGTTTTTAACGAAGATCATCGGAATCTGAAAAAAAATTGTTCATTCAGATGAAGCTGAAAATTGTCCTCAATAGAGAATTATCGCATCAATTTTCTATGTGGTGTTTGAATAAGGCATTAGACAAGCAACAATCACAAATCTTGAATATTGTTTGTTAGAAATGAACTTGTGGGAAAATTTAGTTGAATTCCTGCAAACTTAATAATATTTCAGGTAGGGATGGGCAATATAGAATACCGAATCCGGAGGATTCGAATCCTCAAGTATTCGAATCCAACAGGATTCGGTTTAAGGATTCGGTTTACACTGCGTGCAATTTTCGTGTTTGCGGTACTCAAATTATCGATTAAACGGCTGACGAAAGTGTTTTCTCGTGCTTGTGCGAGCACGTCGAGAATTCTCTCGTTTATCGGCGCCGGTCTGTCTGCTTGTGGAATGCGATGGTTCATTATTTTATACAATAACAAAATCGTTGATTGTTTGTCATAAAACGCCTTCCAAATAACGCGTTTTTATATAATCGTTGATCTGGTATTCTCTCGTTTATCGGCGCCGGTTTGTCTGCGATGGTTCATTATTTTAATAACGAAATCCTCGATTGTTTGTCACAAAACGCCATCCAAACAACGCGTTATTAGTAATAATCGTTTATCTGGTGCTTCAAAACCTGATATTAAATAAAAGTATTTAGTATAGGTTTTTAGTCACGATCGTTTCTACAAAGTATTTTGTATAATGTTACAATCTGTATTTTATTCGATCACTTTCTTTTAAGTTGACCGATGACAGTTGTCTTGCTTTTCGTTATAAGAAGAAACTATATAGTTGCCGCTCGCTAACGATGGGTGATAAGCGCCGAAAGCTGCAATACCAGCTGGAATCTCAGCGTGAAATCGCACCGAAACCGAAATGGCACCTGACTAGGCACTTGGACGTCCATTTGCGCTATTCAGCTCTACTATCAACATATATACTTCAAGTCGACTTATTACTGTGCTATTAGGGATTTCAATTTCTCAGTCTAGCTTCGAGATACAAAATGCCAGGAAAGAGGAAAACATCTAATGTTTGGGAACACTTTGTTTTGAGGTCCGATGGATTTGCGGTTTGCAATCACTGCAAACTTGAAATGAGCTACTGCAACAGTACAGGAAGTCTTCTGAAGCATTTGAGGACAAAACATATTTTCATTGGACTTGATCAAATGAGTGGAAGTGCTACCGGTACCTCGATTATGCCTGCACCAAAGCAACCGAAATTGTCCTCTTATTTTCAAACCCCGGTCACACCTGCAAAATCAAAGAAAATCACAGAACTGATTTTAAATACCATAGTCGGTGATTTGAGGCCGATTGGCTTAGTAGAAGGGGAGAACTTCAAAAAACTAATAAAAGAATTAGCACCCGGGTATGAGATGCCAAGTCGTCGAACTCTGACAAGAAATATTGAAGAAAAGTTTTTAAATTGCAAGAAGGAAATAAGGAAAGTTCTGAATCGTGTTAAATATGCAGCATTGACGACAGATCTATGGTGCAGTGCAAAAATGCAATCTTTTCTTGGCGTTACTCTCCATTATGTAAACGAGGATTTTGAACTCATAAATCTTGTGCTGGCAACAAAAGAGGTGAATGATGTTCATACAGGACTACATATCGTGGAATGGCTGGAAGCTGTCATTGAGGATTACGAGATGTCGCCTCACAAATTGTAGCCATTGTTACTGACAATGGTGCAAATGTTGTCAATGCTTGTCGTAAACTGAAAGAAAAATATGGTTGGATACACATACGATGTGCAGCACATACACTACAGTTGTGTTTAAAGCAGGCATTTGATATTCCACAGATTAAATCTGCTATTGGTAAGTGATAAAATTATTGTTTCATTATGACCAGTCTATGTTTACTTCATTGTATAACATGTTATTTTATTATTATTATTAGGTGCTGCTAGACACCTTGTTGCATTTTTTCGACAGTCATCAAAAGCCAGCCAAGCATTAAAAGCTGCTCAAGAAAAAGAACATCAGCTGGAGCTTATACTTGATGTTTCCACAAGATGGAACTCCACATACAGTATGTTGGAGAGACTTTGTCGCCTGCAAGCATATGTTCGCCAAGTCCTTTGCAATGGGCTCATTGTAAAAGCAACATCGTCAGCTCATTTGGAGTTAAAAGACAACCACTGGGCACTGATTCAAACCCTAGTTGAAAAACTTAAACCAATTAAGGTACGGTAAGTCGTATGTGCGACTGGGAGAAAAATAACTTGTACTGGGCCACATAATTTGTTAATAACTACATATTATTTATTAACAGATTGCAACAGATTACCTGGAAGGTGAAAAATATGTGTCTATAAGTGGTGTAATACCATTGGTCAAAGGATTGTCACAAAAGTACATGCCATGTGAAGAAGATTCAAGAAGTTTAGCTTTATTTAAGAACAAAATTCTAACTCAATTGCATGAGAGATTTGGGTTCGTTTTCAACCAGAACTCGTGTTATATTCACATGAGCATCGCAACATGGCTGGATCCAAGATACAAAACGAGCTATTTCAAAAAAGTTGATGGTATTCAAGTAAGTTTCACTGCATTGCAACTTTTGCCTTTTGCAGCCTTATTTTTTTACACACAATTCTTATAGATTTCTTTCTTTCTCATAGATTAAAGGCAGTATAGAATCAGAAATGATCGCAATAAAACAACGACAGACAAATGCAAACAGCAAGGATATCGACAACTGTTTTGAAAAACAATTTGATTTTGCCAAAAAGCCGGAATCACTAGATGAACTATTGGGCTGTGGCATTGAAAGCCACGACAGCAGCAAAGAAATAGACGAGGGCAATGACGATGAAGTTGCCAGCGTTTCGGAAGAAACGGCCTCGTATTTAAAAACCAAAATTCAGACTACCAACCTAAATACTTTGGAATGGTGGAAAAGTAACACAGCTACACCTGTTTTGAAAGAACTGGCAGTAAAGTATTCATGCATGCCAGCGACATCAGCATCCTCCGAACGATCTTTTTCTAGTGCAGGATTGACTGCTAGTAAATTACGATCACGGTTAACCGGCAAACATGTGGAGATGTTAAATGTGTTACACTGCAACAAAAAATTTTGCATGTGAAGTGCACAATTTTATTTTTTTCAATTTTTCACATTCCTGTTCCACAATCTTATTTTTTGTAATTTTCACATTCTTGTTCCATAATCTTATTTTTTGTAATTTTTCACATTCCTGTTCCACAATCTTGTTTTTTGTAATTTTTCCTGTTCTGATTTTAAAAAGTTTTTCATAAAATAAAACAGTTCCAATATTCCGATTACTAGATTGTGACTTCAATTTAGTTTGTTGAAGCTGTTAGTTAAGTTATTGAAACAGTGTAGAGTTCAGTCGAGGCATTTAGCTTACAATGTGGCTGTAAATGAAAATAGAATAGGATTCGGTATTCTGGATTCGATTTAACTATTCTAGAATATTCTAGAATAGTAAATTATTCTACATTGCCCATCCCTAATTTCAGGGGTACTTGATTGTCAAAAAATATGTAGAGACCACGTTCACAAACGAAGGCAATTACTCATAGCACAGTGGACATATCGAAAATTGAAATTCAGGAAAAATCATGTAGACAAAATGAGTTATTGTTTTATCTAATTCGCCTCCCAAGAATTATTTCGAAAATATAAAAGACTCCTCATGGATATAAAAGATGCGAAGCTGAGTTATGGTGGGCCCATCGTTGTCAACAGCAAAATTAGAAAAAAAATGAAAATTAATTTTTTTGTAAAAAAAAAAAATAAAACGAAAATAAAATAGAACAAAATAAAAAATGAACGTGCAAAAAAAAATTGAAAAAATAAAAAAGGTTTACCATCGTTGTCAAGCATTTTTATTTTGAAAAATTTTGCTTCGCATGGGACCAACGTTATCATGTATAATCCTGCGCGCACAAACGGTGTTCCTTGGGTTTCTTATTCACTACTGATTTTCTTGTGTGCGATAAATTTAATTAATAAACGGTACATCAATTCATCTTAATTTAAGTTCAACTATAAGCAATGTAATTATCATAAAGGAATATAGAATCGAATACGTAAATTTAGAAAATTATTTCGTATTTGTGGGCTTTAGAAGGTAATAAAAATGTAGAATGCTGCTTCTCTTCTGAGAACGCGAGTGCAAGCCTTCGGCAGTACTAGGCCTATATCGTACCAGCGCAGTCACTGCTAAAATGAATGCAAGATTGGGAGGTCAGAATCAAGTAGAATAAAGTAAATCGAGGGAGGATACGATACAGTATCGCTGCGGTAATTGGTCAGCAGATGGGTAACAACATAAATATATGTATAATAAAATATAAGACACAACAAAACTTACCGTAGTAAGTCGACTTGAAAATTTGGGAACACCATTTGTGCACGTAGGATTATACATATACATGACAACGTTGGTCCCAAGCCGAAGCAACATTTTTCAAATAATAAAACGCTGGCAAGCTGTCATCGTTGTCACCATTTTTTATTTTCATTTTGATCACTTTTTTTTTTTCATTTTTTCTCTTCGTTTTAAATTTCTTTTGCGGTTTCCTTTTTTTATTTCGTTTTGATTTTATTTTCGTTTTTATTTTCAATCTTTTTTTATTTTTTTACAAAAAAAAAATTATTTTATTCTTATTTTCATTTTTTTAATATTTGTTAAAATTTTACTGGTGACAACGATGGTCCACCAAACTGAAGGAATGTTTTACCGCTATCACTTTAATGTTGTTGAGGTTCATTCAATTGTGGTTCTCTTGCTTGATTTCCACCTACTGCCCCAGGTTCTCGTTGTTCATTTTGCTCCTAAAATAAATATCTTATATTTACTGTGAAGATTAATATCAAATGATTCTAGGGACAGAATATTCCATATGAAATAGTGGTCCCAATATCCCAGAGTTTTTAAGAGGGTTTGCTATCAGCATAACATATAACTGTCTTTTATATTCTGCCACATATATGATAAGCGACTTAGATATTTCCTCCAAACAATGCCTAATATAGGCAGACCAAATCATGTTTGCCCACCATACTTATTATGGGATTCTTAAAAGACCCATGGGAATACTTTGTGAAAAATTACCAGAAATTTACAATGGTCTCAATTAACTCAGTTCCAATGCGATGTTTACGGAATGATAATTACAGGTTGCTAAATAATAAGGATTAGTCAAATTTACCATTTGCTGATTGTTCTGAATTCCCCTCACAGGTACATTTACATTTCCAATATGTGCTCCCTCGAAGTTGATAGGTGGAGGTTCTCTTTGATCTTAAGATAAAAGAGATGTACAATGTAAACAATTATTTTAAAAAATTGCCTTTGGCTCAAAAGTATGATCCAACCCCAATTCAAGGGTAGGCTTGTATGATAAAGCACAACTGTATATTTCTTTTAACATACTCAAAGCAAAAATCTGAAAGCAAAGAAAATCCACTCACTTGGTGGTGCCAAAGGGAAAGTGAATTCGACTATCTCCCTATCAACTTCATTTTTCACTATTTCACATTGGATGACTTTTTGAGGATATTGTTCCAAGTTTGTGAGGAGTTTGAACTCAAAGTCATGTCTGTGCCGCCTTAAAAAGTCATCATCTACGGGAACCCTATATTCATTGGGTTCATTGAACCACAAGTTTTCTGGGTTTTCTTTAACTCGTAGTTTGACATGAATATTGTCACCATGTCTCAGAACTAACTGGTTAAATCTTGCTGGGACAAGTCGAGCTTCTAGTCTCTCATAATACCTGTTGACACTATTTTCAATGCTCGAAGACCAAGTGAAAAATGTAAAGTAAATATAGTTGTTGCCAACAAGATAAAAAAAGTTTTCTTTGAGAACTGAGGGATTATAAAACCATCGTCCAATAGCGGCAATTACTGGACTGAAGTTTTGACAGCGGAATTCTATAGTCCCGTCATGCATGACTTGATCAGGTTTAATAATGTTCCAGTCAGTGCGATTGGTAAAGTGAAGTATGTCGACGTCATCTTTCTTCAGCTCGAGGCGCCATGACTTCATTTGTACTATAGCGTTTTTGTGTAATGTTGATTCTGCACTGATGTCAAGAGCTGGTGTGATTGCGAGATATTGTGCTGGGCATATTGAATTGTCCAATCCAACTGACATCCAGACCTTTGTTTGCGCATTGAATGTTCCATCCGGAAAAGTAACTTTGCATTCGTAAAGGTTCATTGTATCTTCTTCAAATCCAATGTTTTTGACTGAAAAACAGTTTAATTTTTCTGGTAACAATCTAACTAAATTCCAATATTTTAAAATTATAGATACGAGGGCTTATAAAACTTTATAATTCAAATTTATAAGCATGCTACTGAACTATGTCCTTCTTGGTCATTCAATGTCAGTTGCTTTCTTTCAAAACAAAATTCAAAAACAGAAATTGTTTTTTGAATTTATAGTTATGACACCTTTAGTTATAGTCATGATACTTTTAGCAGGGCAGTGTGATGGACTGATTGTTAAAGTGTTTGACTCAACTGTGTTGGCATTGCAGAATACACATATCAGATTGAAATCTCATGCCCCCACTCGGGATGTGATAAATTGGGTGAGCTATGGGTACTGAATATGCATATAATTTAACACACACAAAAACAATTCCATCGCTGCCAATAAGATTGACTTTGTGGGCACATTTTTAATTGAAATGGCTACAAAATGTTTATGTTCCATTTGAGTTGTACATTTGATTATATAATTGTACCCAGAGTAACTGTTTCATCATTCATTTGATATTTATTTAGTCATACCATTTAGATATTAAGTCTGCCTAATTTTTAGTTGTAAGTATTGAAAAGTCCTAAAGAAACTTTGCCAAATAATCATGACCAACAAATACAAATATTCTCAAACCATAAATGTTACAGACTGCTCAAACTTCAGTATCTAATTTACAATTTCCTCCAAAAGTAATTCTTCGCTCGCTTGAAATTAGAAAAATTGGACATTCTGATGCCACTTGCGAATGAAATTCATTACACTATTTTTGCATACTGCAGAAGTTAGTGTAGCAAACCATGCGACATTCGGCGCTTCATATTCAAATCTTAACGGTTGCGAAACTTGCTTCTGATACGTAAAAATATGCTCCATACGTTTTGCCTAGACTCAAAAACTGTATAGGTATATCGAATTTTTTGGGTTTACAGTATATTCTCGCATATACGCAGATCACGCATTTAGCCGAGTCCCCTAAAACGGCGATTTTATAAAAATTAGCATATAAGCTGACCCTACGATTCGTAACACTCCGTACGCACCTATCACAGTCAAGGATATCAAAGTATCCGAATACCATTTCGGCTGATTTTCGAATAATAGCCACTTTTCGCCCTCATCACGGTGTTTCGTTGTCAAAAGAAATATTCGAACAAATATCAGCGCTTTGCCACGTATTGTAATGACGACGATAAATAAAATCGGCACTTTGATTGTTTATCTTCTGTGTGACCCTGCGCCTCATATTGTTGCAACACATTTGCATGGTTGCTATCGTTGCTACAATATGATTTTGACTGCCAGTAGATGCTTTTATGTTATGTGTGCTAACACAGAAGTCCACGACGAAAAGAAATTAAAATCTTCATAATTCTGGAAATATACCTTTTATAACATTCTTTGAGTGTGTTTTGACCCCAATGTTACCCCATTCATCCTTAGCCCAGACTTGGAATTGATATGTTTTACCAAGTATAGGTGACTTCATTCTATACTGAGGAACCTCTGTAGTGTGAGTCTTTCCAAGTTTCACATCATCACAGAAGATTTCTATGTTGTATAGAACGTTGCTGTCCGCTACTTCATTCCAAGTCAAGAGAATGTCGGATCCGCTTCTTTGAGATGAAACATTTTCAATTTGTGACAAAGCTAAAAATAAAGTAGTGAGTTGGTCTGATACAACTGTCTATAAATAGAACATTTTAGAAATAATAACGAAAATATTGCGCAATTAATCACACATACTGACTGGAAAAATGATTCGACCAATCAATGAATATTTCACAGTTTAGTTGAATAATTGAAAAAATAACCAAATAATTCTATATCATTCCTCTTGAAAATAAAATGCATCAAATCACCCAAAATAAAGTATTTTGCAAAATTGTTATAAAAAAACTATTTTCTAGGAACCATCTAATTGCACTTTGTATTAGAGCTCAAGTCTAATGGTTACTTTTGTATGAGTTTCTAGATTTTTCTCTTTCAGGTAACTAGTCTCAATTCAAATATTTAATTTCACATGAAAAAATTGTTGGTCATTTCTGAAATTAGTATTTTTAATTTTTCACACCACTGATATATAATTATATACATTTTATCAGTGGTCAACAATGTGGGATCTTGAGTGGTTGATCACACTAGGACTAAAATTAATATACTTTCTAGTCATATTAAAGCAAAGGCATTGTTTTTGCCATTTCTACTAAAATGTGTTTACTGGTCAGCTTGCTCAGTTTTGGGAAATCCTATTTGAGCTCTGAGTTTAGAAGCGTTCATAAACAAATCATGTCTGAATAGCTATTAACCAATCCTTCAAGTTAGAACAAGGGCGTGTGACAGGTCACATGTGAGCCACAACCCAGCCCGCCAAGCCAATTACCGGTAGTTTGGCCCTTGTGAATAATCAGATTTGTACCCATCAAAACAAATACTAATCCAATAGTTAGAAAAGCGCTCAAATAAAGTAAAGTACATAATAGAAGTGAGCTGACTGATGAACATTTGAGAGTTGCTTCTGTCAAAGCTGATGGGAACAAATTATACGAGAACCCAAAAGTTGGAGTGTCCCACTAAAATGTTGAGTAAATTTCCATTATGGAAACTTTTTGAACATGAAAACTAAATTGTTTTGTGTGGCTAGATCCCCGAAGTTGGTTGCACATGCCTAATTTAAACATGGCTGCCAAAATTGCGGCAACAAGTTTTTGTGGCAGGGTTGGTGACTTTAGTTTCAGTTTCATTCTATTCCTGCTTGGGCCAATTTTTTGAAGATAGGTTTTTTGATTTATAATGCTTAAGTAATACCAGTGCTTTGCTTTACATAACATGAATAAGTGTTGCATAAAAAAGGAAAGTTTGTAAAAAAAGGAAAAACCCAGCTTCAAATTTATTAGCAATAACTTGCTGGGATAATAAAATCTAGACCATAAATAAAGTGATAGACATTGACTTTAAAGACGAAGATGTTTATATTTTTTCTCTATTTGTTTTTAAAATGAAGTTTTACATGACCAAGTGTTACTAAACAACATTGCAGTCTTAATTCCCAATACGAGATTCATAAATGCAGATCTCGAAGTTCTAGAAAAATATCGAGTAATTGGTCGATTACTTTTAATTATTCGTCTTTGAACTACGGAAGATTCATTGACTAGTGTTTTACTCATGTGGTGTTAGTACAAGACAAAGAGAATAAGTGTTATAGGCTGAATCAATAAATTCTGACCTCAGTCAGTTGAAAGGTCACAAAATTGCATTTCTGCATTATTGAAAAACAGATCCACAAGAGCAAAAGCATAGGTAGTTGCAGTCTAGACCCCCCACATTTTGTTACACAAAACAATTTATGTGAGTGTTTGACTTGGTCAAAGAGTCTCCATTATTCATTGAATATTTCAATTCTTCATAATTAGGAACTGTTAAGTTTCCATTGAACATGACTATGACTATTGAGTTAAAAATGTGACTTTTCATCGTATTGGACATTGAGAGATATTATGTAAAGACAAAATTTAGCATAAAAAAAAAAAAATTTGTATGAAAGTTTACATTTTAATCAAAAATTTCTTTTATTTCATGAAACCAATGGTGGTTTAGTGCATCATTTTAATTACAAGCTTTCTCAACGAAAATCGTTAATTTGAAGCTGATCCCTATGTTACTCATAATGCTGCCCGATTATATCAATACAGCTGACTTACAATGCTGGGCTGGCTTTGCAGCTTGCTCAGTTACTTCTTTATCTGATTGTTCTGCTCCTTTTTCAGTCATCAGGAGTTCACTTCTAAAACAAAATAACAGAGTGAATTTATTCTTTTTGTTTTGTCATCATCATATTTATATAAAGTTGGTTTTGATATTTATTAATTTCAATAAATTATTTTATTAAATCAAGTTCTAATAATTATGCTCTGCTGGTATAATTTTGTTTAAGCTTTTGACAATTATATACAGAGCAAAAACTAAGACTGAAATTATGAAGAGAATTGAATACCAGTGGATAATAGGAATCAACACAGAATCTCTACTAGAAATTTGTTTATTGTGGCATTTGGAATGGATAATTAATATTTCATACAAGATTTTAATAAATCATATCTGCAGACAAAACACTGAAATAAACGTTTGGGCATACGTTTTCGAAAGGGATACGAGCCAAATGGGACTTATTATAAAAGTCCATGAGAAGCTGATCATCGCAAACTGCTCTGTTCAGTCAATAGAGTGAACTATTTTTACAGCATTTTGTCAATACGCTATCACATGCGTCAAATAAAATAAAATTGATTTTGTGTCATTAGCAAGGTGGAATATAGTGTTTTATTTACTATTGTCATGGTCAAGTACGTTTCGGACCAGACGCTTGGGCCCATACAGATCCGAGTGCCGATATAAGTTTATTAACAGTTCACAAAGCGATAAAGACTCAAACACGGAGATAAAAAATTTCGTTAATTCATTATTTGGATGGAGTATTTTCCTATTGTATTTAATGGAATTCGAGGCGATCTTGAAATTTCCAACGCAAACAAAACAACATGATCTGCTGCAAGAATGGATTTTAAATAAAACGTTTGGGGGACGAAAACAGAGACATACAAAACGAATAAATAGATTAAAAATTATAGGGAATTATCTGGTGTTCGATGCATATGGATCCCATATTGAATTTACATTTTAAAAAATCAGAGATCACAGTTGTTTTGTTTGCGTTGAAATTTTGAGTTTGACTCCAGTTCCTTTAATTAAATAATAAATATTCAATCAGGTTTGTTGCATTGTTGATAAATGCATTTCGCACTTGAACTCACATAGGCCTAAATGTCTGAGCCAAATCATCTGTGTGCAGAAATATCTCTAAGCCGTACAAATACCGTACATCAGTTCACACACTACACAGCCATGTTAAAGCAGGCCACTGCTGTGTGTGTGCTAATCATGGAAAATAATCTTTCTGATTCAACATTGCTACTGCCCAATACATTACACACATGCAGGTGGTGGGCATGGGATTTAAACCCCTAATGCTTTAATCCAGTGGTTCTCAATCGCCGGTCCGCAACAACCTTGCTGCTGGTCCGCCAAATATATTCCTATACTATAAACAAAATACAAAGTATTGATGGCATGTCCATTAGTTTTGTGATTTTTTTTATTCTTTTTGGATCGTAGTACCGGTATTCGTCTGACAACTAAACTTGGTGAGAAGTCCTCCGCACATTTCTAAACCTGAAAGGCCTAAGTCTATGACCTCATAACCGGCTAACGTCATAACGGAAGAGTTTAATAGCACATAGTGCGGCAGCGCTTCACAACCAGTTATCCGCGAACTCGTTGCTAAATTCTTCGTATTTTTCTATATTTTATGTTAGAATTGAAATTAATTCGACTTTTTAGTAGGATAACAATGGTTTTCTCGTGAGAAGTCCAATCAATTCCATCAATTTAGTCGCAACAAAATGCGGCGCACGCTCGAACAGAAGATAACAAACAATCAAAGTTCTATTTCATCGTCATTATTATACGCGAGAAGGCGCAAAAAATCGCTTGAAGATTTCACTCGAAAACGAAACACCCAGCTGACAGCGAAAAATGGCTATCATTCGCAATTATTCAAAAATTTGCCGAAAAAGTATTAAAATATTCGATTTGTTTTGGGCAACCCTGCCTCGACCTATTTTAGCCCTTGAAACAAATATGTTAATATAGGTGGTCCGCAAAGTAAAACTTTCCGTGAGAGTGGGGCGCGACATAAAAAAAGTTTGAAAAGCCGTGTAGTACGGTACATAATTGAGAACTTCGCAGTTCGCACGTTTCGTAATTTGACAGTCGTAATTGCATTCTTTTGATGAAGTTTTGTGTTTTTGGTTAATTTTGAAGGTCCGCCAGTCCGCAAAATTTGTTTTGAAATTTTACTGGTCCGCGAACTAGAAAAGGTTGAGAACCACTGCTTTAATCAGTAGGCCATTATGCCTTGCCTTAATTATTATCATTATGTCTTAAATTACAAATTTAAGTCATATTTGAAAGTCACACTACTGTTTTATCTAACCTGGGGCTTTTAACTTCTTTTGAAATCTCCACATTTTCTCCAGTACTCTCTGATTTGCTGAGTCGTGATGTGGTTCCTTAGAAACGAAAATATATAACTATTAATATGCAATTATTCAAGACACTAATAACTGTTTTTAGTCATTTAATATTGTCAAACAAATAGTGAATGAATAGCCTGAAAACAATTATATTTACATACTCTAATATTTTTCAAGTAAATATTTTCAGATACTCTAGATTTAGTACAATTTCTGATATCCCAGCAAAGTAAAAATCATTTTTTGAATAAATAGTTATTTTAATTCACTACAATACAGTTTAAATACAAAAACTGTTAAAAAAATCTTATGGTTTAATGTGCTGCAAGATGTGGCAACTCCAGCAGCTAAACAGCAAATTTTATAAACTATAAATTCCAGTCATTTTTGAGATTGAAAATGAGAATAAAAATAATAAATAAGAATTATATAAGGAATCAGACAGAACTAATGCAACATTGATTGTTACTCATTTATCATTGTATAATTCTATTTGAAAAATATCTAAGATTTACCAAATTCTGATTCTGAAGACAAAGTTGGATTTTGTTTGAGAGTTACATTAGTTGCTTTATCTGCAGGTTTTCTCCGACTTTTGAGTGTTTTTATTCCCATCTGAAGCCAAATCTCTAGTTGCTGTAATGAATAAACTGTTTTATATGGATTTATCACAAAATAGTCATGATAATGAATGGCAGCCGGAATGGTATCTATCAATTACCATGTTAGTGGTCAATGAGATGTTAACATTGAAACTACAAATAGTTACTAAATAATTCTGATGCCTAATCTAAGTAGTTTTCAATTAATTGAAAAACTTTCCAAACTTGCGAACATAATGCCATCTTTGACAACTCACTAAACTGACAGTCCACACTTGATTAATCGCATTTCATAAAAATAATTATTGTGAAATACCAGCGAATCCAATTCACCCCATAATTTTAGATATTTGCTGGGCGAAACAGAAACACGAATGATGAATCTTGGTGATAACTTAATTTGATATGCTAAAATTTTTGTAATTAAAAATAAATTATACAATTTGGGGATTTAAAAATTCACATTGCTTTATATTGTTCTATTAATTGGAAAATAAATAAACCTTATTGGGTGCTCCTGAAGTACTTGTACCAAGATTCAGCACAACCTGAAAATAATATGTGCCAGGTCAGGGTTTTTCAGATTGTGCGTCATCTTGGTACAAGTACTTCCGAAGCGCCCCTTATTGTAATAAGTGAATATTAAACATAATGCGCATCACAATCAAATTGACCATGATAATATTTTGTTATTACCTTAACTATTTAATTTTCATTTGTTATATTATTTTATTTGACCTATATTCTATAATTTGTTTTTCAGACCTCAGATCCGATTTCATTCAATTGATTCTGTAATATTTTTTCATCTTCATCTGTAATGTTCCATCTATCCAACCGCAACTGCTTTGTAACATTAGGAAGCAGATTTGCAACTGCAACAATGCCTTCATGGTTTGCAATACGCCGTTCAAATAGACCCTCATTCATATCCAAGTGATCAATCTGTTGAAATATACAAATACAAAGAACAATCAGACATGAATAAAATGCATAATGTTATATTTGTCATAGTTGTACAATCTAACATTATTCATTGTAATATTAAAATAGAGCCTGGTGTCGAAAAATTTCAGAATCTGTAAAAAACATCAAAAGTTAAAGTCTTTAACAAGGTTTGCAATGGAATACGCCTGCTCAATAAATGTTCAAAATAATTTGTGTTTATAAGAATTGAATGGAGGCAATTTACTTATCTCTAGACCATAGCCTTATTTTGAGCCTATCTTTAGATTTGTAAACCTGGAGTTTGAGCAAAAAATAGATTCTCGAAGACAAGACTACTGAACGAAACATTGAAATGCTCACACAATAACTGGTGAGGAGATGAGAGACTGTTTGACCTTTGGGTAAATAAGCTAATAATCAAGCTGGAATTATATTCTTCCTTCATCACAGTGAAATTGGAGCAATGCTATTGGATCAAAGCACAATTCAGCATAGCTGACAATACTTAGCTGCCAACTATTAAGGAATTACAACAAAGCCATGCTAAACTGCAGACATGAGAATGCTTGGGAAACTGTTCGATTTTATATTCTGTGTTGGTGACAATATAAAAGCATTACTGAGCTAAAATACCACGGACCATGGTACTGAAATACTACAATTAGCAGTCATAAAAATACATTATAAATTGCCAACTTATAGTCAGACTTGATTTGCATTTTTCTGATCTTGCGCATTCATCATATTTTTTGCAACACTGACTGACATCTTTTTATAAAGATATTGATTAGAAAAATTGCAATGTCTGCGATGAAAAATCTCAAAAGTACACACCATTGTAGAACAATACCATATTTATTGGAAAATTCATTGAAAGGAAAACGTTGTGTGCCGCATTGCGGGAATTCAATAATGGCTAATTGAATTGCTCAACAGTGAATATAGTATATTTCCTGACGGAACACAACGTGTGCCTATGCACACACAATTTGGGTATTTTACAATTTTACAATGCCTAGAATAGCTTTTTGGTCTTAACATTCCGATATTTTCAATCAAAAATTCGAGTTGCAGATTACCTCTTTTATTTATATTTATAGGAGCCTGATCGCACTTGAATACATGTGAGATGAAAAAAAATAGTAAAAATACAGTTTACCAACATAATATCGGTGTTTGAATAATCATGAAACAATAACGAAACAACTGGCAATTTAACAAAATTAGCCCTGTGAAATCTGTATATTATGCGAAAATATACGATAGTGACTTTTCAGTCCTACCAAGAATTTCAAATGTCGGTTTCAAACTCTGGGTGCACCATCATTTGTGATGCTATTATGAGTGAAAAATTGCAATATGCCATCCCACGAGTGCACACAGATAAAAAATTCCATATCAAATGCGTTCGTGAAGATATAAAATTTGTATTGTTCGAAATAAATAGAATTTCGAATTTGTTATAATTTCTCATTATTTCTTTGGTTGAAATCTGTTCCATAATTTCGATTTAATTTTCTTGTTTTTACTCATGAACACTCTTACCAAAAAACAACTTTTTAGGATGATAGGACGACACGAGAATCTTAGGTTTGCATACATGAGTGTGATGACATAGCAGTTAAAGCATTAGACTTGAATATGTTTGCATCACAGGTTACACACCTCGGATTCAAATCCCATGGCAACCACTCAGCACAATGTGTAATAAATTGAGTGGGTAAAACCGAAGAATAAAGATTCCAGGTCTTCAAAAAATAGTAACTCTTACAGATATCCGTGGATGCTTATACGTGCCTTGCTCAGAGTGAAATGTGTGAATAAGTGTCAAAATAGAAATTTTGTTGAAAAATATATTTAATGAATGCTCAAGAAAAAAAAAATACTTTGCTTATTTGTTTTATAATTTCAAGCAAAATTAACTGAGCTTGGAAGTTCAACCGAAATAAATAACCAAATTGTTCATAGGATCCAAGTTTGATCATTAAATATTTCAAACAAATTTTTATACAAACAAGTTGGCCTGAAATCTATTATTAAAACTCCCATGTTTGTGTTGCCATGCAGCCAGAACTCCTTGATCTGTGAGGAAATTTAGGATTGGTTCATTTGTGAATCAAAAATAGAATTATGAATTTTAACTGAAAAAAAGTTTTTCCCGGATACTCCTAAATTTTGATGTCAAATATGCAAGTAATATTTCATATACCTATCTATTGAATTTAAAAACATAACAAATTACACAAACTTTTTTGAAACACACAGACTTTCTGACTTCACAACAATGGACACTTGAGCAATTATGACATCATGAATATAAAATGTAAATTGAATTTTCTTGAACAACATATTTCAATATATATTTACTTTGATATTAACAGGGTTAGTTATTATCACTATAAGCTCACTATTACTATAAGATTTGAGTGACAATAAGTACTTCATCCAAAAATTGCTTATCGATTTAAAACTAGAATTAATTTTGAACTCGACTTGAGTCAAGTCTCATAACACCAGACTAGATTAAAGCTATAAAAATATAGATATTTCCACACAGATTTTCAGAAAGCCAAATCCACTCAAACTTGTAGGTATGAATTTCAAAAATCAAAATTTTTTTAACCTGTGGTCTTTGCTCAATTTTTAAGTTCTAAAATCTGGGAGATTCTACGTTATTGTATATATAATACAATATACATAGATATAAAATCATTATTGAGAGGAATTGCAAGCACCTACTATGGTTTATAGTTCAGAATATTTTTTCGATTTTTCAACTCGACCCCAATATAAAAAATCACCATTGGATGAAATTGAAATGCTGCAAGCCATGGTAATTGATCAAGCATATTCATCATGCGCAGCGTTTTTCTTTTGTAGTTTTGAACCCTCAACACTCGATCAGACTCAGGGGGCGCAGCCAGGCTTTTTAAGGGGTGAGGAGTACGGGAAATTAAAATAGTGTGCCCAAAGTGCAATTCATGACGGCATTGGCTTCTAAAGAATTAAAAATAGTGAGACGTTCATAGTGAAACGCTATTGAATAAAGTCCAGGGTTATGGTATGTTTATCTTTATACACATTTAAATAATTAGGGATTCAAAAGTTTTGTAACACACAAATATATTTCTGTTATGTCTCATTGGACCAAGGTCAGACTTCTGCAGAAATACATAATTCAACCATAACTTCATTCGTGTTATATAGTATCATTTCAACATATATGAGTTGCCACTTGCATAAAGCTTTGTTCAAAGTAGAGGTAAGAAAGCACAATATGAAGAAATTACTATTTAAAGACATGAAAACACATCTTGAAGACTTTGATATATAAAACTGCATTGAGTTTTCATGTAATACATAGTCATTAAGTCTTTACCAAATTATGCTCAAAATATATCAAGTATGTTTGTGCAACAGTTCAAAGATTTCAAGTTTAAATCCTATGTCCTCGTAAATAAATGAGGGTGTAATAAATTCGGTAGGGACTTCCAAACTGGAAAATTCTGATATAATTTAAAATATAATTTATACAGTAATTTGATTAAAAATTTAATAAAATATTAATATTAATAAAAATTTGCTCAAATAGTCAATTACTATAATTAATTTTGCACTTATTGTAATGTTAAATGACAAGAGTAGAAAATTTTTATTTTATAATGAGAAGCGCAGGTTTGAATGATTCTTTCAGCTGTTTTATAGGACAAATACAGAAATTTCAAAAAAAAAATAATTTAAAATCTAAATTGTATTCAGAATTTGGTAATTCAATCATTGGTTGTGCAAGATATTGTCTTTATTGTAACTAACTGTTAAATATATTAATTGTGTTAACTGTTAAATATATTAAATAATTATTTGTTAAATATATCAATTAATTCAGTTAACCCATTGACTCCAGAAAGCTTTGTTTAAAATATTTTTGAATAAACTTGCAAAATTTGATTAAGAATATTCTTTCGGTACAGTATATTGTTATCACATTGACTGCTTGGAAAGAGCCTTGCTCAGAGAGAAGTTAATGAATTAAAAACCTACAGTTTTTTTTATTAAAATTCCATAAAGCTTCATTTCATTATTACTCATACAAGGTCTTAATATCTTAAACTGAGGTTTGAAAGATTGAGGCCTTTAATGTTTGCATTACTCTTATTCTCAGTGAGTAACAGAATACTACAGCAACCGCCAGATTTACCATTATGCAAGGCAGGCTAAAGCCAGGCCTCAAGCCAAACCTCGGCAAATAAAATTGAACAAAAATTCATCAAATCAAAGTTCTACCCCTTCAATTT